TTGGCGCCAAGATGAGTTTAGTTTCTCTACCGGGTGAGCAATTGGGCTTCTTCAAACTTCTACAAGCCCACGCAGTTGGGCTATTGCAATTATTTGTTGGGCAGATGATGGAAATATGATGAGTTCAACAGGAAACCCAAAAATTCTGCCCCCTAAGATATATATATATATATATATTGATCTGGTACCATTTCAATTTAAGTTTTTAGCTTTGTATTTGCTATTTTTGTGATGGGATGAAAAAAATTCATCCTATCATTTGCGTGGCTTTAATGAATGTGAAAAGACATATATAGAGGTGGATAAACTAATTTCATTCGTAGTTTCTCAATTTAGCATATGGAGAAGGAATCCAATAATTATTCAAGTAACTGTTCTTTTCTTCTTCTTCTTTTTTCTTTTCCAGTTTCATTCTCAGTGAAGAGAGAGAGATGAAAGTTTTCATTAGTCAGTTTGAATGGCATTGGAAAGCAGTAAAATGAAATAAAACTTCAATAATTTTGCAAGATTTGCGTAAACGTCAATTTATACAGTAGTGTAATTATTGTGCTTGCAACTTGCAAGACTAGAAAATTGCAGAGTGACTCTGATTCATTATTATTAACATCTTTTCTCATTTGCCTTTTGTTATGGAATATGGATTCATCCCAAGTTAGTTATTGGCGTGGACTATTTGGAAACAAATAATAATAAGGATGCAATAAGCCATTTGGGTGAGATTTCATAAAATATTAGAAAAGGCTAAGCTAGCTTAGGTGGATTGCATTGTTTGCTTTATGCAACTTAAAGATTCTTGGACGCATAGAACTATGACCAAAATTAGGTAGATTTTGCCACTTATTCGAATCCTTTTATAGAATATGCTAGACACTGTCTAAATCCATTTAAACTTGGTTTATATGGATGGATAAATGTACTTGAATCCATTTTGCCACCTCTACTAGACAGCTTGCCGCGTTTCAGTACACCCAATAAATATTCGTTAACACACTTAAATTTTACCTGACCTTATTATGTGTATACACACGTTAACAATTATTATCTTCCCTTACATTTATATACATTTTTCCTATTTAACTCTATATTTTTAAAAACTTAACGCGTGAAATACATATTAATGAACACCAGCTAAAGAGACCCTTTTGCACAATAATCTTGCAACGCTTTCATTCTCTAACTCTCCGAGTGTGTTTGGATTGAAGATTATTTCACTTTATTTACACACACTGATTTGCTTGAATCATCAACACATTTTCCAATCACTTTTTTATCTCACATACTTCATATAAAAAAAAATGTTACAGTAAAAATATCTCAAATAATTTACCATCCAAATACACTCTTAATCACTTAAAGATTAATAAGTGATATATTGCATCCATTATTTATATAGTCAACTCCATAAATTTGCAATTTTCAAATTTAGTGATATCTTGTATTCATTGAGAAATGCAATCTTTCTTGTGATAAAGCAATATATGCTCAGCTGTATCATCAATTAGGTCTACGACTGGCACCGTCTACCACCAAACCAACCAATGGTTTGCTATTAGAGCTGTTGTGTGGCTTTTTAAGGGAAAGTTGTTCTCAAATGATAACACCCATATCTTTGACTACGAGACAGGGAAAGATAGGGACAAAACCCACAACATGATAACAACAATAACCCACTCACCAAATTTACACAAAATCATGAATCATGAATTCATGATCATTCTTCAGCGAACCTTTTCGGGATAGACTTTTCATAGTCCATAGAAAGTGTAGATATTGCAGAGTTGTTGTGGACAAAAATCAAGCCTTCCCTTTCCTTCCTTTTTTGGTCGGATTAATGGTAAATGTCACTAGACCACTAAGAGGGGTTGTGCTTGAAGGGGACAACTGGTTTCTGCATCGCCCCAATGGCCTAAATACAGAAAGCAAAAGAAAAAAAAAAGTGAAAAGCAGCTAAGTTCAATCCAAGACTTAATTTGGTAAGCCAATCTGTGCACCACCACATAATTTTGGAGATTGACCTATTTAACACGAAACTAAATAACTTTCCTATGCAGATATTGAAGAATTTTACAATTTCTGCTGCACTGGACTTCAAAACCAGCCATTTTAGATTGTTGTCCCAAAGAGGGATGCAGTGGGCTCTAACCTTCCACCACCACTTAAAAACATCTTGGTGTCAGAAAAGAACAAAATTTTTGGATAAGACATTGAGAACAAAATCTCATGCACTAATTCGATATGAACATTTGCAATCTTGGAGTCCATATGCAGTTGTTTTGACTTGGGCTTGGAATCTAATTTTTTATGCTTCACCACTTGGAGGGTTTTAGACCCTGCATTTTCGAGATGCCTTGGAACATTATGCAGTTTTTCTATTACTCCCGACTGATTCAGCCAACATTCGTTTTCGGATAAGCTTCGGCTAGATTTTTCCTGTTGCTTGCGGACAAAGAAAGAATGCAAGAAAGAAGATGAGTACAAAAAAAAAAAATAAAAAATCATCGGTAATAGACTTTTTTGTTGCTAATACAAACAGGGACTGCTAACGAAGTATAAAATCGACCCATGGAAAATGATTGACTTCATACATATATATATACCTCATGGTAATTAACCTGTTGGAGGGACAAAAAAAAAAGACAATGAAAAAGAAGAAAACAGACGAATAGTATCATACAGGATAACAGAGAGAGAGATATATAGAAGGGGCTCCACAAAATGGACAAAAACGATACAATTTCAGGGGAAGAGAAGGCAGGGAAGGATAGGATGGCCCATGTATTTCAGTTCATATCCTACGTCTTGTCACAAAGGAATCACTGATGGCTTTAAGCTAGGAAAGAAGATAAGCCAGTGGTCTATCTCCTTCGTGCTTGGTGATTCCATCCATCCATCCTTCACTTTTTAGTTCCTTTCGGTAAAATCATGATTATCTTCCTTAAATTTCACTTTAACTACAGAGATGTCCATTACAACCTACAAAACGACATTTACATATTTGATTATTCACGTGAAGTGCCCTTTCACAAATATTTGTCTGCACTCTTGAATTTTACAGTAGTGACTCGTCTTTACAGCTTTCACCAACAATTTTGGATGGAAACCAAGCTAGTTTGGAGATTTTTTTTATTCTAATTCAGATTCAGAATAAAGGGGCTCGTTTTGTCTAAAATACCTTCTGCGCTGTCTTAAAGGCGAAAATGGATGGGTCGTGACTCATCGATGACTTTGCATTTGTATTGGCTTGAAACAATGGGCCTGTTTGGAACCTGAGAGTTTTTTGAGAGTTTGTCTAAAACTTTACTGTAGTGCACTGTAGAAGTTTTTGAAAAAATTTTGTAGAAACTTTTGTAAGGTGAAAAATTTTATAGAAGTTTTTGTAGGGTGAAAACCTTTTTTTTTTCCTTTTCTTTTTTTTCTTTCTCTTTCTTTTTCTTTTTCTTTTTCTTTTTCTTTCTTTCCTTTTTCTTTTCTTTCCACTCTTCTTCTTCTTCTTCTTCTTCCTTTCCCCTCACCCTTCCCTCCGCCACCCCCAGCAGCAACTCCACCAATGCCACCTCCCGCCACCCCTCTCCTCCCTTTCCCCTTCTCCTTCCCTCTGCCCCGCCACCCCCTCCCCCACCCCTGCAAAAGCTCCCTTGCCACCCCTCCCTCTCCCTCTCCCTCTGCCGCCACCTGAGTTTTGCACATGAGTTTTGCAGCAACAGAAATGATTTTTTTTTTCCAATGTTCTATCTCCCTCTCCTCTCCTTATCTTGCCAACAGAATAAGTAGCAACAGCCGAGTGTAATTTTTTTTTTTTTTTTTTTTTCCTTCTCCCCAAGCTGCGGGAGGGGGAAGGTGGCGGGGAAAGGCAGAGGGAAAGAGGGGAGGGGGAGGGAGGAAGAAAAAAAAAAGAAAAAAGAGATTTTGGAAACCAACATATCGGTCAAAGGGGGAGGGGAGGGAGAGAAAAAAAAAAAAGAAAAGAGGAAGGCCGGCAAAAGTTGGCCGGAATAGTTACCGGCGCCGGAAGCGGTGGTGGAGGTGGTGGCCGGTTGGGTGGGGGAGGAAAAAGAAGAAAAATTGAAGGGAAAGTTTTTTGTGTATTATTTTGAAGTGTGTAAGAAAAAAAATTTTAAGAAATTTTTTAAGGTTCCAGTAGCAAAAGTTATTAAAAAACTAGTAACTAAAAAATTTGGCCAAAAACTTCACTTCCAAACAAGCCCAATTAGTAGTGTTAAAAGATATAAGTAGAGTTGTTAAATGGAACGAACAGCTCCAAAACTCGATTGAGCTCGACTCAATTAGGTTCGAGCTCGACTCGTTAATTGTGATAAACAAATCGAATTCGAATTCGAGATATGCTCGTTAATTAACAAACTGAATAAGATCGACTCGTTTGTTATTCGAGTAATTTGATTAGACTCGATAAGGAATGATATATATGTCATTTCGCAATTTAAAAGTATAAAATTTAAAAATTATAAATTTTTATTGGAGTCAATTTGCATGAGTTCGAGTTTGCTCGTTTGTAATAAACGAGTCGAGCTCGAACTCGAGTTCGAACCACATGTCCCATTTGACAAGTTGAGTCCGAACACATTTCAAAGTTCAAAGCTCGGTCGCCTAATCGAGCGAACTCGAGCTTGGCTCGAATTAAATCGAGTCGAATTAAATCGAGTCGAGTTCAGCAGCCAAATACTCGGCTCGATTCAACCCGACTCGCTTAACAGCACTAGATATAAGTTCCTAATTATTAGTACTATCAATGAACGTTGATGACATGTTTATCCCGATAAGCTTTAGGCGTTTCAAGGTCATTCCTATAGCTTGCATAGGAATGGAGTCTTTACCACCAGATGCTGCTCCGATTCGGTGTTTTTTCTGCTAAATGGTCAATGCTCGATAGTAGCTTCTTTCGGGTCGAAATACTCTTTGATTGTGAATTTGCACCCTTTCGAACTTCTCGAGACTAGAGCATATTTGACAAAGAAGTAAAGCACAATAACGTCAAGAAGACGAACAAAAAATCTCTTGTTAAGATTTTCTGGTTTCATTCTCTGTCGAGATAATGCATGTCAGAATTATAAGGTGATGGATCAGACGACAACATGTACAGGGGACCTCAAACCTTGATCCACTACTAAGGCTCCAGCTGTACAACTTGCTGCTAGCTGCTGCTGCTAATTTTTTGCAGCCTATTCCAACCTATCTACTTCTTCTTCGTCCCTACTCTAATCCTTGATCCAAAATTAAAAGTTGTCGAGTCACTGAAAGGGAAAAAACAAGAACAAGAAATATTTATACTTCAAGTTTGTGGTCCTCCGTTTCAATAGATTCCTTCGCATTTTCACCGCTGTTATGACCGAGCTTCCCATCTTCCTCAGCGTCAAAGCTAGCATGGACGCTATATAGAAGGTAAACAAGAACTGCGAGAGCGGAAAAGAATCCGAATCTCACGTAGGACGGTCTATCAAGAGAACCCAACAAGAATATGTTAAGGAAGATGGATATGGATGGTATCCAGGGCATCAAAGGGACCCCCCAGAACTCGGGCTTTCTGGCTTCTGGAATGATTGGAGGACGCCAACCATTCCCCCAGAACCTCCAATCATTGGAGGGTCCCTTTGATTCCATCACACGGTTCTGGGGGGTCCCAGAACCTCCATTCACACGGTGATGGAATGATTGGAGGACGCCAACAGCAATGGCAGTGCAGGCACCGAGTATGAAGGCTTTCGGCTTTCCCGGGGGTGCGAATTGCCACATGACGGTGAATATGATGGACGTGAGTGAGAAGCAAAACAGGAAGGAAAGGGTTGGCCATGGATTAGTTGTTCCGACAGAGACATAGCGCCGGTAGATTACAGCGTTTGCAACCATATAGAAGACAAAGAGCGTGCCGATGGACACAAGGTTCAGTAGTATATTCAAGTCCGTGAAAAGGGCAATAGCCGCTGTGAAGATCCCTGAAAGATTCATTCAAATCCTAAATGCATCAGCACAGCAGAAAAAAAAATTTTCACTGATGAAAAAGCAACCAGCCATCCATCAAGTTCAGTGGGAGGTTAACAAGAGGTTAAAGCAGTGAGTGAATATACAATAATAATGCAGAGTTTAAAACATCACTTATTCTTTGAGAAAGTGAGGAACTTTTCTAGTGGCTATCTTGACAGAATGAATTGATCTCTTCTGCAATGCTGGTGTCAAGCGTCAATTGTTGTCAACTAAAACCACCATGCATCAACATGGAACTGACCTTTTCCAAAGGTAGTATTATGGAATAAGACATCCAGATATCGCAATTGTCAAAATTCTCTAGTCATCCATATTCCATTCCTATCGCAATCCCAAGGACCTCCTAATATGATCCATCCATATTCGCCTAAAACTTATCAACAAGTCATAATCCAAAAAGCTATAGAAAGATCACAACCGTAACTAAATAGTGAGTGCTATTGCCGGTAAATATGCTTTTTAAAGAAAGAAATGATCTTCAAGGAATATTACATTACTATGATTTATTTTACCAGAGACTTTCTGTACTCTTAAAAAAGGTTCTCCATTTTCTGTTTGTTGATAGTAATAAAAGAAAGTGCTGGCAAAATAAATTTTTAACTTTGGAAGATAATCAATCATGAAAGCAACAGTAAAATGAATTTGCAGTCAATTTTTGCAAATACAATTGTACAAACCAAGCAGGCAGGATTTTCAACCTGGCAAAAACAGACAAAAGTTGCCATCAAAGAAACTACTGAATGAACCAAACTTTCAGAAAGCGAAGGCTGGGCCAGATGAAATCTAGCAGAGTATCATATCTTCCAGAGAAAACGAGAGAGAGCATCCACATGGATGGAGCTGAAGGCAAGGCAGGCAACAACACTTTAAAAAGTGCAAAAAGACAGCTGACTAAGTCAAAGCAAAACCTCATCATTCATTATTGCTAAGATTTGACACCAAAAACAAAAAAAAAAAAATTTATTTCGTCAAGAAAATTCATCAATTCGTGATTCCCTCATAAAAACTCTATAATTAAAAAAAGAAAAAAAACTTCACACATGGATTGGTGCTGCGAATTAATTGATCCCGGGATAAACCCACGAGCATTCCCTAATTTCCCCTAAAAACTGGCAACTGAAATTTCCCTAACCGAAAAGGTTGTCGGTGGAGCCCAATTCAATAACGGCATAACTTGACAAACACAACAGGCAAATAAATCCAAATGGTCTCAGCAGATCACTGAAGCATGGAGACCAAATTAACAAACCATTTTAACTATATACATACATATAAAATACTAAGTACACTACCACGTACCAAGAAAAGCTGAGGCGTTGACAGGCGTAGAAGTCCTAGGATGGACCTTAGCGAACCATGCAGGGACAACACTGGACCGTCCGATCACACACATGTAACGAGCTTGACCCAACATAGCCACCAACAGCGACGTCAATATCCCAAAGCTGGCCCCCACCCCTATCACATTCGATACCCATTTCCAACCGTCTGATCCTCCCCTAAATGCCCCTGAAAACGGCGCCTCGGGATCAATCTGCACAGTTGTTCTATTCCTTCAATTCATTCATTTCCCAAAAAAAAAAAAAAAAAAAACCTACGAGAATTTGTATACAAATGTCGTCCTTGTAAAAATTGTACGTCCTCCATGATTTTTGTTTTCTTTTTTTTTTTTCAGAAAAAAAGTCATTGCATTTGTACTGCTAGAATTTCGGTACGATTGTAGTAATTATCTTATTTTGATGATACCATGTCATAAGGGAGAAGCAGGGACATTGAGGCAGCCATCAAGCAGTAAAGAACCGTCACGAGGATCACGGATCCCGAGACCCCAACAGGGATATCCCTAACCGGATTTCTGACCTCTTCAGCCATTGTTGAAACTGCATCATACCCGATATAGCTTAGGTAGACCATGGCAGCCCCGTTGAAAACCCCTGATGCTCCAAATGGGAAAAACCCACCAGGATGTTTTGGGTTCCCTGGCTCGCTAAAATTCTTCCATTCCCCCCTCCAAAACCCCATCAATATCACAAACAGTATAAACATTATATGCAGCACCGTCAGCACCATATTCAGCAATGAGCTCTCCCTCGTACTGCCCGGCGCCAACCAAAAAGAAATCTGTAATTAGCCAGAATAAACAAATTATATTTGAAAAGAAATTCATTAACGTAATTGCGGCGGAGTACCTGTAACAGATGACTAAGGTGAGAATCAAGACGAGGGCCACCGCTAAAATGTCAATCTCATTAAAACCTTTGGGAAGAAAATGGACTGTTATTCTCAGCTTCGTCGATACACCAATAGCTGTAACAAAGTATGTTGTGAAACTCCTAGCCACGGCCGCATTTGATAATACGTAATCTATAATCAAATTAGCCCCCGTCAAAAACGCCAAAAATTCACCTGCAAAAAATGTTGTACGTGTTAAACTTCTCAGTATTATACTCGGGTAGGGAAAAAAAAAATTTTTTTTTTGTGGCTTATAATTAGTTGTAGTTGGGGGCGGACCAAAAGTGACGCGGATGTAACTAAAGGCCCCGCCGGCGACGGGCATGTCAACGGCGAACTCAGTGTAGCAGAAAGCTGAAAGGAGGGCGCAGAGGCCGGCAATGGCGTAGGAGAGGACAACAGAAGGGCCGGCGTAACGTCGGCTGGCGGTGCCGGTGGTGACAAAGACTCCGGCACCGACCATACCGCCGACCCCAAAGCCGACAAGGTCATACCATCTAAGGGTCCTCTTCATGTCCGTGCCAGACATGGCTCGGACGCGGCTGGTTTCTTGGAAAGATGTCGAAACGGAACAGGCTCGGCGGGCCAGCCGGTGGGGCGTGTGGGAGAGTGCATGAAAATAAGTTTTGAAGCTGGAGAAAGAGGAGGAGGTGGTGGTGGTGGTTGTGGAGGAGGAGTCATGGTTCTCCATTTGGACCATCGCCCGCTACTAATAATAAGTCTGCTCTCCCCTGTTTTTATTGTCTCTCTTAGTGTGTGAGTGTGTGTTTTTTTGAAACGCGATTGTTTTGATTTATAGAAGGGAAAAATCCTTTATCAGGCTGGCCTTCTTTTTTCTTTTTCCTTTTTTTTTTTTCTCTCTTTGACTTCCGTTTTCTGCTGATCGAGAGCAGTTTGGCATTTTGCATTCTGCTGATCGGGAAGTAAAAAAAAGTGTTTTTTTTTTACATATATATATATATATATGTAAGATGGTTTTTTATGACCATAATTGTGAGATTAATATATTAAACTGCAATTAACTCCACATTCAGTACTGAGTAAATGACAAATTTAGCATGAATAAGATGTTTCAACTAATATTCACTGAAACTCTTTGGAAAAAAGTTCCTTGAATGTATGTATACCTTGCATTGTGCCGGGAATCTTGAAATTAATGGTTCGGTTATCTTTTATTTTCACTCTTCGTGGGGTGTATATATGGCAATGTCGTACTATTATTAGGTGGTAGAATCAGAGAAAAAATCAGGAAAAAAAGGTGCAAAAATAAGTAAAGTAGTGCATAAATAGGGTGGGATGGGGTTATGGGCTAATGTTAACATGCACGGTCTAATGTGTAAGTTCCTTGAAGAAGACGAAGGTGCGTGAGATGCATATACAATAGACTTATGAGGACATTAAGAAAAGGACTAGACTGACGCTGGATTGTAAATAAAATGGCAACTCAATTCACCCAAAAAAAAAAAAAAGAAAATCACCAAAATAGATGTGAATTTTGTTTGCCACTTATCTATTCTGTGCGCAAGTAGGATTAATGGAAATTATATTATGGAGCAATAGACTTGCTTACTTGGGTGGAAAGTGAAATAAGCTTCATCCAGCCCGCAGCCCTCTTTTTTTTTTCCCATCATCAAAGTTCTATTTGTTTTGTTGTGCATCAAGTCTTTCGTCTTATTTTGTCAAGAAATAAAAAAAGGCACATGAGTAGTGATGATGTACAAATGGATCCTAACAATATAATACTTCAGATTAAGTGTGCCACATTTGCAGACAAAGATTGAGTGTACCACAAGAATGGTCACTCATATATCTAATCATTTTTTTGATTAATAATAATAAGTCATCTTCAGCTAACCTAGATGCTAATTCAACAGTCACTCATTTTCTAGTACATTCAACCAAAAAAAAAAATATAATTAGAGATTATATCACTTCACCGAAAGTATATAGAAATCTAAGGTTGTGTTTGAATTACATTTTCCGTCATTTTTCATGGAAAAATTACTGTAACGATTTGATATAAGTGGGGTAAAAAGATAATTGAGAAATGTGTTCACGAAAAACATTTGAAAAATTGTTGTCCAAACAAGGCCTAAGTTTTTTGGGTTGAGCTAAGGAGATTATTGCTCTCTAACAAAATGGATAGGCCGTATGCAAACAACGATGGAGCAATTTACCTCAATTTGGTAGAAGTGCATAAGCTATGAGTTGCATTATTAGTAGTTCTTGACTTCTTGCAAGTCATAAATTTTTCCATTAAGGGTCCGTTTGTTTCGGGTGAAAATGTTTTCCAGAAAAATATTTTCCTAATTTCTCGTGTTTGGTTGCACAAAAGTTACTGAAAACATTTTCCTATGTAAAATATTTTCACTCATCTTATGGAAAACAACTTCCCTTCCCAACTTCTTGAAGTTGTTTTCCGAAATGCATGCATCTTGCCTGTAGTATGTTCCAAACTTACTGAAATCATCTTGCAGTATGTTCTTTTTTTTTTTTTTTAGTGTAAACAGGAAGACTCGAACCCAAGACCTCTTCCTTACACTCCCTCCCCCGTACCACCCAACCCTCCCCCTAGTATATTCAAAATAACAAAAAACCCCATCCTGCTCATCCTATGCTAGTAATTAATTATGTATAATATGGACATTCTTTTCTAGATAAACTTTCAGCAGTGAGAGTGTAAGATATATGTCACAATAAGCATTGCATGTGATTGATATTTGACACTAAATGGCCAGCAATTTATTTATTTGCTTAAGGAGATATTTTTTATTCATATATACCTTTCTCCAAGATTTTTTAAAGTTAAACAATGAGATAAATTTTCTTATTTTGCATGGGAAGAAGTATGTAGTTATAATGTGTAGAAAGTAAAGATAGAGATAAAAGTGAAAATATTTCAAAAGTTAAACAAACACTAGAAAAATGAAGTAAGAAAATATTTTCAATAAGCTAACCAAACACCTGAAAATGATGAAAGGGAAATGATTTTCATGGAAAATTACTTCAACGGAAAATATTTTCCCAAGGAAAATATTTTACTTCCAACCAAACAGACCCTAAGTGTTTTGATTCTTGGAATGATCTAAATTCATGCATTTGCTAGCGCATATGAGCGTGAAAACGAGATGGGGCTTGCTTGATCAGTCTATATCGTCACAAAAAAAAAGCCATGAAAACTTATTATTGTGTCCTGATCAAAACATGCAATTACAGTGGTTCTTCTTTATTGTGCACAATGAACTTGTGTGTCATTTTCTTCTGGTCAACTCTCGCCACTGTCCAATGTCCATCTCTTTTGGTAAAATCTTGGGACAAAATTAGGTTTGTTTGAATATAGATTTGTTTAGAGTTTTCGTATAAAAATGTCCCGTGGTGTTACGAGGTGTGTTAGATCAAAAAAATAATTAAGAAATATGTCAGAAAAGCATTCGAAAAAATTTCTAAGGTAATGAGGATGATATTTGTTAGCACATCATTAATAATATGCAGTAGTATAGGACTTATTTTTTTAAAAAAAAAATGTGAGATATTTTATATTTATAATTTCTCTCGTCTTATCATTTATTCCGACCTTGCCACTATTACGGGACAATCGGAATAGAGTTGTACGTTGGATCTTCATCATTACAACGTCACTAACCTCTAGCTACGATTCATTACAAGGGGGAAAAAATGGAGAGAAAAGAAGAAGAAATCTTTGAACCCTTATAACTCTGAACAGAATTCTCAACAATTTCTCGACAGATCAACAAGATATTCATAAGAGCACTACTATCTTCTCAGCTGGAATGCAATTGCTGACCAGAAGGTAATCATTCTTTCAGCAGTGCTAAATAAATGAACAATTAATTCATATAGATTTCTGGTGACAGAGCAGCCAAGCCAAGCAATTGACAAGGCAGAAATGGCAGAAATTGCCAGCATATGCCATACCCACCTTGCCATCTTTAAATAATCTCACAGTAGTGGGCTTGTAATTAGTGTTTGGAGGAGGTTTTGTTAGTAATGACAAGGGATTTGGCCGTTGCATCAGCCTTTTTTTTTTTTTTTTGGGTTGTAGATTACAAACAATGGACGCAAGTCTCCCACGATGACAAGTGGTAAAACACCTAAGACATTAGCAAAAGTAAGGGAACGTTTTTTTTGTTTGGTTTTGTTTTTGTTTCTTGGTGAAAGATAAGCACGGACTTAATTGCGGCAATGCACAAGCCACGTTGCCCAGAAAAAGAGGAAAGGCTCCATAAACCTCTTTGGTCTCGGCTTAATCAGTTGCTTGTCTTAGCTTCTTGCCTTCTTTCGCCCGATCGCGTGCACTTGTACAGCCAGTAGCATTTCTTATTTTTCATGCCATACCAAAGTTACCAAACCATAACCCTCAAAAAACCTGCCCCCTTTTTGGGTAAGCTGTGCCGTTTATGCAACCAGATATTTCTTCGAAATTTGTGGGTTTGGATTGTTTCAAATATTATTTTATTTACTTTATAAATATAATTTATATTTTATTTTTTATTTTACCTACATCATATTACATTATAGAAAAATATAATAATAAATATTTTAAATAATCTCCCATGGCGGTCAACGATAAATAGTACTCATAAGTTTGACCCATTAAACAGACACTAGTATTTTATTTTATTTTTTGTTTTAAGTAGCACAGACTAGACCTGATATTTAACATTTGATGCATAAGTAAACCTGCATGCCTAACTCCAAATTAACCATAATTCAATAGCCGCGGACAAGTTATTAAACTTCTTAACTTGTCCACAATGAGTCTCTCACATCCCGGTGAATAGGGATGATAATGGGAACGGATGTCTGCCGGTGTGAAAAAATGGATATAGATTAGGGATGGGTGGAAGGCAGAGACGGGGCAATTGTTCCTCTCTCGCATTAAATGGGAAGGCCGCCTCTGCCTATAATTTAATATAGTATAATATATATTTATGTTTTTATATGTATAATATAAAATAAATGTTATGTCATTGTTATTATATAAATATATTATATGAAATAAGTAACACATTATATTGTTATAATAAAATAATATTTTTTTTTAATAAAACTTCAAAAAATAATTATTATAACTATTATTAGATTTATATAAATTAAAAAATATAAATAAAATAAAAATAGTAATAATGATAGAGAGGCAAAATGGGTGCACCTGCAGGGGGAAATGGGACGGAGTGGAGACGGTTTGCTAGATTGGAGAAGTAGAGGTGAGAAGAACTTTTGCAGAACAATGTGGGGGCGGGGTGGAGGGAAGCTTTTTTTCTCACAAATGATCAAGAACACGCGCACATAAATATATTAACACACGAAGAGTCATCAAAGAACGGGTCAAACGGACAATCTAAAAAAAACTCACAAAATAATCGAATTCAGCCAATTGATAACAGAATCGACAACCTGTAAACTTTAAATTCAGAGACTAATGCCCCATGATCTTTCGACGTGGGACGAGATGGAGGGAAGCTTCACTCCCTCCAAAACCGTCCCGCTGTCATTGCTACTGGCGAACTAGTTTATAAAGTGATGCAAGAAAATTGTTAGCGTTCTATACTTCAATTGTTCAAATAAAAAAATCACCCCCTCTAAAAGTCTAACCTTCCCATAATAGTTGCCACTTTTGATTTTGCAAATTTTTTCCTGTGGGAAATACTCTGAGTGGTCGTTGACACGACTACTATTTTCCGGTCAAAGTCTTGAAGCAGTAGACAGAATATGAGGGCTTGGAAGTAACTTTACCCACCCTTA